CAGCGCGACAGCCCCACTGTGCTTGACTCCCGGCCTTGGCTTCCTCCTTCTTGATGCCTCGGCTTTGGCCAACCCCAGGGGTTCCGACCTTCAAATCAGTGCCAAACCACAGACACTCGGCACAAGATGCGGCTTTTGGAGCAACTGGGTTGCGCAAAAGGGGCTCAACTACCCCCTGCTCTCGGCTGGAACCTGGCTGTTCAGTCAGAATTTGACCTGCCAGCTGGCCTGGCCGAGAGGACGAGGAGCTGGAAGAGTCCGAGTCCTGAACGTGCGCCATTCCCAAGACATGTTCTTCTTCCAGAAATTGGCCCGTGATCAATCAAGTCCACGCCCCCTCAAAAGCCTTGGAACACTGCCGCCGCCTCGGAAGATGAGCTTGACGAACCGTCCTCGCGAGTCCCAGCGCAGGCAAGACCATAGATTTCAGCTCCTAGCAATCCCCCAAACACATTTGTTTTGAGGAGACGTGCGATCCCACCAAAGAAAAAGGCCAGGCAAAATCGGCCCAGCCCTACTGGCCTCCATCATTCCACGAGCGCGGAGCCTGCGGCTGGACAGGGCGTGGGAAGTCACAATTTAGACCAGCGCCAAGCGAAGCCCGTCGACTCAGTCTAGCTCAGTCACATCGCCGTGTGCTGCTGCCTCCCCCTGGAATTTCAAACGATTGTCTCCAGCCCTGGCCTCGTGCGCTGAGTATGTTGTAGATGTCGCTCTCCGTCTTTGGTAGCTCCCAACAATCAGTTGCTAGCTTGTGCTGTTTGTTGAAGGAATGGCTTGCCAAGTAAGGCCCTGCAAATGCGGCAAACATGCATCCCACTTTATTGAAGAAGCGTGTTTATAGGCGGCCTTGCGCTTTCCACATTATGGTAATCTCATTAAACATTGGGCGCCAAATTTTGTCCGTCCCAAACGCCATGAGCCAAAATGTTGCCGACAGCAAACGGGGACCACTTGCTTCACACCCTGTCTAATAGCTGGGCCTCTGCGGGCCGAAGCTGGGGGCCCAAGCGTTTGGTGCAAGCTGGCGTTTCTCAGGAGCACACACGTTCTGCCTGCCTGAAGTGGGCCCAATCTTATTGCATGATTGGTGTCAGCGTGGTGTGGACATTCAAAATGGTGACCCACAATGATCATTTGCTGGGCCTTTCCTTTTCTGACCTCACACGTGCTGAATGCCACCTTCGAGCACCACAGAAGGCAACCGCCTGGCACGGCTTGCAGACAAATTTGGGCAGCATTTAAGCACCTAAAATCCGCCAACGCAGTCGAGCGTGCAAATGGCAGGGGCTTTCTTTTGTCTGGAGCATGTTGTCTTCCTCGCCCGGCTGACGCACGCCTCCAGGGACAGGGAGGGAGGGTGCCTCACCATAACAGTTTCCGCATCCCCTGCATCATCACATTCCCCGATTTGGACTAAGCCAGTGTTTGGAAGCTTCGGTTTGCCCTTTGTTTCCGCCGCCCTTTGTTTCCGCATCCCCATCATCCCGGCGTTTGGGTATTGATGTTGGCTTGGAATTTTCTCCACCTCGCTTGCATGCTATGATGAGCGTTCTCTTGGAATGGAACAGTAGATGCGCATCCTTTATTTCTATGAACTTGATATTCTCAACAAACAAGCAGATCTTCTGATCTTCCCTTCAACCTCAATGGATCTCAAAGGGCCTGCTGCGAAACGTTCCCAACATGTGCTTTCCCAGTGTGTTCAAGAGGTCAGTTCGCACGCGGAGCACACTGGCCCCTGTGTCGTTCTGATGCTAATTAGTGCTCTTAGTGCCCTTGGTGTTCGATCTGTTCTTTTCAATGGTGGCATTTGCAAAGAGGGTCGGCGGCTGGCGTAGCGAGCTCAACATTGTGCAGTTGCTGCCGGCATTACAAATGAAGAGCTGATCCAACTTCGAAGTCGGCCGTGCCATGAGCGTTATGGGCTTGGATCGACGAGGAACAATTGCTGAGCTGTTCTGTGCGGCTTGTCTTTGTGTCCAAAAGCACCACAAAACACGCAAGCAACAAAGTACAAATTTGTGACCTCCCACTCGTAGGACCAAAAGTCGTACACTGCAAACGAGGCACTGCCAGCACGAAGTGGCTTCGCCCGCAAGCAAGCATCGGCGTACGAGCCTCGGGGCATGCTACCCATCTACCCCGATCCTGGTGGGACCCCATGCCTTCAACCGGTGTTAAACTCTGTGCATCTGCCTCCTGGCCGTTTTGGGCTCAAACGTCTCTAACCATAAGCTCCAGGCCCCCTCTGTGCGCAGTTGGTAACCGATGGAGATCTGCTTCTCCACTGCCTTCACCCTTGGAACTTCCGAGCATGGGAGCCAAGGTAGAAACAGCCAGCCTTCCAGGCATGCCATTCGATTGAAGACTTCGTGATCCACTTCACCCCATAAAACACTGACCTACAAAGATCCACTGCGAGCAGTGATGTGTTTGGCCCTTGCCCTCCCATGGATAAGGAACCGCTTCGCATCTTGCAGGGCCTCTCCCTTCTGCTTGCCCCGCGGCAAAGGATGACACAGGTGTGCATGGCAAAGTGCAAGACCCCACGGGCCGAGATTCCATTCGATGGCCCCAAGAGGATTCCAAACACTGCGGTGCCCGAAGCCCTGGATACTTTCGTTACAAGCACCCTTTGATTCTGCCGCAACGCCAAGGACATCCCAACATATCCCAACAAACAGAAAATCAATCTATCAAGGACATCCCAACTATCTCTGACAAAGAAGTTTGCCCTTTGTCAATTTGTGACTTGTGGTCGAGCAGCTGGTCCAGCGAGGGCAGCCGCAACTCTTGCTGGTCAATGGACGCTGAGAGTGCGTCGGCTACCACTTCAGCCACTTCTCCTTGGACTCACTCAATGAGCCCATCTGACTAAAACCCCCGTCATCAACGAGGGATTCCTTATTTCAAGGGGTATTCCGGTATTCCTTTCTTCCCAGAAAAAGGCTTTGAGAAATAACACGGGAAAATCATCAAAATAAGGCTGTCAGATAACAATAAGAGGAAAAGCATGCGCGCCCTACGAAATTCACAGGAAAAGGCAAGTTGTGAGGACATCGCAAGGCATTCGTCGGCTTGATCCGCCTTTCTCATTTCCAATCAAAGTCTGGGGAGAAATTGGAATGGCAAATGGGCTGGCAAAGGGGGTGGCCAAGGTTGTCCCTCTGCCCTCTGCTCCTCTGGAAGTACCCAGGCTACAGCAAAGTCGTGCAAATGTTTGGAATCAGCTTGTCTCCGCGCAAGGTAGTGCAGGATAATCTGCTTCCATTCTTGAATTGCATGTTCCAAATTGTGCCGTACGTCCCGTGATCAGCCGTTTCGGAATCTGGGTTTGAATGTGTCCAGCCAGGGGGAGCCCTGCATGGAACCGACCTGTCAGAGGGCTGGTTTGAGACGGCCGCCTGCGTCAGCTTCTGCCAGGTGTGCCAGCTTGGAATGGCATGCACTTCCCTGCTTTGCACGCCTTCATCTTAAGGCGAGCTGCGCATGTTGCCGGTGCGCTGCCCATTGACCAGCTTTGCTTCCGTCAGGTTGGCAAAAGCAAAGCGGCACCTCGTCTAGATTGCATTCATTTTCTGAAACTATCAAGAATGTCAGCCAACCCCATGCAACTTGAACGAGAAGACATTTGCGAGAGCATTGCGCAGCTCATGTCCATGAACAGCACCAAGATTGCAGAGGGGGAACTTTGACCTTATCATATCCCACGACCTGTCCGAAACCTGGCATAGAGAAACCCAGAATCAGCGAGCTCTGAGATATCAACTGGAGCAGGCTCAAAAAGACAAGGCGCTGTAGTGCAAAGACAGGGTCAGCGAAGCTGCTCTCATACTTGACCCCATGCTCAAAGCAGAAGGGGGACGAGATATAGACGCTGCCCTTCACTTGCGGAAAGTCGCATAATTCTTGCGGGTAGTAAGCTTCATCATTCCAAACACTGACCTCGTCGCCGGGTGGCACACCACGTCTTCTTGACCCCTGCGGCTTGTAGGGGGAATGGCGCTCTCTGAAGCGGCTGATGCGCAGAACGCGCCGACCGCCAAGCGTCAAACTCAAGTGAAGCAAAGCAGTCGCTCCATCGGTGTGGGAATCCATAACCAGGTCCTCAGCTCACTCATGTTAGCTTCAGGGACGTACGCATAACTTCAACTTTCTTGATTGGCTTCCAGTTTGTTGCAGCACAGCACGCAGGATCCCGCAAAATCTTGGGCGAGTTGGCTCGCCAATTATTAAGCGCTGCTCAAAAACGCAAATCCAAATGTTCCAGATACTAAAGTGTGACTCAGCTGAGCAGCCCCTCCTCTCCAAATCTGAGCCTCCAACCCACCGAACTGCGAGCCTTGCCGCATAGCATGGTGAAATACAGCCGCCGACTCTTGCAAATCCACACTCTCTTCCGCCTCTGCCCTGGAACGCAGGGCCGCCAGCGCCTCTGCGACTCGCCCCCAGCATCCCGCAGACACCTGGCGAAATGCTTCCAGGAACGCCAGGATCCGCCGGGGGGGCTGCCGAGATGGCAGGAACGCATCTGTCCGAGGTACAAACACGGAAGCCTCAGCGCCCAGTTGGAATGCAGTGGCGTGCCAGTCCGCCTTCAAGATGCTCTCTAAAGCCTCGTTGATGGTGTCCTCCTCGAAGCCCCAACGCGCCACGCGCGACTCGAAGCCTTTGAATCCTTCGCCATCGGTTCCAGTGAAAGGGCCGTCAGGATCCTCACGCAAATAGTTCATCAGATCCTCAGCCTTGACGTGGCCAAAGGCAAAGGGAGCGCGGCCTTCTGGCAGCTGAATGCCGTATGACACATGCTGAGGAAAGAAGTGCTGAAACACAGGCGGAGCCGTGGAGCACGCCACCCATGGCACCGCGATGGCTCGCAGCAGCATGGCAAGCTGCAGCTAAATGGCCGTGATTTACAAATAGGCAGTGCCACCTCCGTCGACTCAATATTGCCGGCTTAGCTCCTCAAGGATCTCAACAGTCCCTGCAAAGAATCTTGCCAACACACAAAGAAAAACATCCTTGGTCACAGCACATCTTGCGTCTACAACTTCGATCAGTACATGCACGGCATTGATTTACCGGTGCATTGCAGAGCTTGTGCATTCTACTCTTCAGTCATGTACTTAAAACTGCAAAACTGGTTGCTTTTGCTTTTGCCCTCTCCATCAGTTCAGACAGGCTGCCCAAGGGCGCAGTGAAAAGCTTTGTCCCACCACCCCCGGGCCCGGCAACACTCAAAAGTGGGTATCACACGTCGCCCCGCCGCGCATCCCCCGATCACCCCATTAGAATCTGCATCACAGTCGCATGGCCAGTCAAAGGAGGCCAGATTCACGGCAAGCGTCCTCATAGGCCGCGGAGATAAGATTTTGGCATTCAGCTTGGCATTCAGCTTGGCATTCAGCTTGGCATTCAGCTCCTGTCAATGGCGTAGGTCCTCTCCAAGCCCGAACGGGCACATCAGAGAGCGGTGATCCACCATTGCAGGAAAAGGGCCGCAGTTCTCCAGATGCTCGCGGCCTCAACGCTTGTAGCTTATGGGCGGCTGCGTCTATACCCTAGACATTTTTGAGCTGCCTGCGGTTTCTTGGGGGTGCACGGAGGGCAAGGGCCCCAAGACATCCGTTTGCGAGAGGCTGGCATCCACTTCCACATCATCCTCAAAGCCCTCCTCTTCTTCATCCTCTTCCCAAAAATACTCCCACTCGTCATCATCCTCGGCCTTTGGTTGCTCAGTCGCTTGAGTCTCCTGCACGTCCTGCTCCACCTGCAAGGGAGTGCAAAAATCCTCCTCCTAGATGGCATCGCTCCCCAAGGGCATACTCAATGCACATCGCCAGGCCAGGGAAAAACATCTATAAAACAGCTCAATTCTGGCCCTCGGATCGTGCCAATTGGGATTTTGAACCAGTCCCAGCTCTTGACTTCCCGAGCATCAAAGGCCCTTTAAGCACTTTACGTGCGCTCTGCATTTTGCATGGCAGCTTCTTCATAGATGGGCTGCCCCGGTCCTCTTCATTCGGCCAGTCATCCATATCGTCCGGGGGCCTGCGGCAACAGCAGCAGCCCCTGCCCCGATGCTCCGACAGCGAGGTGCCGGACTTGCGGAAGGAGCTGAGAGCACCCAGGGACTTGGTCCGAAAGACGTCCTAAGCATCGTGCCACGGGCGGGAGTGGAAACACGATCCATCTCCTTGAGGGAGCGGACAACCATTGGTGAGACTACACACCGATCATATCCGATCATTTATGTGGATTGCAGTCATAGGCCCAGGCCACAAACCAAAACCATCACATTCCCTAACCGAAGGGAAGAAAGACCCACGACTATCCAAATTCAACAGTTTGAAAAACTACATTCCGCTGAGCCTCGCGCCTCCCCAAGAAACCCTCAAACACAAACGCAGCTGCACCTTGCATGATGGTTTAGGGTATCAATGTTTGCCCGTGCCATGACCCCAACGAGTTAAAAACGCTGTTTTCCAAGTCAAGCTGAGAGTCCCTCGAGGTGCTCAGCCGATCTTTCATTGACCTCCTCGCCCTCAGCGACGCGGCCTGCGCCACCAGCTCATCGATCTCCTTCTGTCGGGCTGCCAACTCCTGCTCGTTGATCTCCCCGCGCTTCAGTTGGTTCACCAGGTCCTCCTTGGCCTGCCGTGATTCTTTACATGTGTTGACATGGTGGTTCTGCTTGCTGTTGCATGGCTAATGCTGCGAGTCGAAGTTGCTGTACCTCAGCAAAGTGTCCATTAGGGATGCTTCACGGGACCAAAGCGCTGAATAAAACAAACCGTTCCCCTTCCCTGAGCTGCAAGAAGAAGGGTTCGGTGACTTATCACAAACCAAGCTGTATGCGGCTGTATGGGGATTCAAGAGACACAGTAAGCAGCCTGCGTGGCCCGCCCGCCTGTTGTGCCGAGAAAGTGCCGGCTAGGATCTGCCGCCGGATCTCCCAGCGCCGGACCACCTCGAGTGCCAAAAGCTGAGATCAGGCCGTCGGGCCGCTGGAAAGAAGCGCCGGAAACATGGATCATTCTAGAGCACCGGCAAATATACATCCAGCACAGCAAACAAACGCCTGGCTATAAGCCTAGCTAAGCCAACCGAAAAACAGCCCCGGGGCACGAAGTAACCTGCAACTTACAAGCAAGCAAAGCGAAGTGAAGCCAAAGCAAAGAGCAATTCGCTCGACATCGCTCGACTCATTCCTGCCTTCTGTCGTGTGGCCTGGCTGGCACCCATGGGATCCCGCAGCGTCTGCCAAGCCTTCGCCAAGGAAATCCTGTGCGAGCAGTGGGCAGAACTAATCCCCTGCGAATCCCTGCGGCCTGGCTTCATCAAGGTGATGAAGGTTGCTTTTTCTAGCCCCTTCAAACACGCAAAACACTTGCAACGCGTTCAACTCTCCCACCAACATGGCACAGGGTGTTGGCTGTGCCTGTGGGGCATGAGTATGAGTGCGTCATCATTTCAGGTTAAAAGGATCCCGCCGTTCCAAGTGAAACAACTGCACCAATCCAAACAAAAACTCAGAGTTTCGGGGGGGGTCGTCAGTGTTTTTCTTCCGTGCCCGTGCAAGTAGACTTTAGTGACATGTATGTGCAAAGGCGGAGGTAAATGGCTTCAGGCTCAATGTGTGCTGTGCGTTTGAGCGTTGAGAGCGAGCCCTCTCTTTGACACAATCCGTGCACGGTGCGCGCCTTAGCGCTGCAAAAACCTGTCGCCCGCCCGTCCTCTCGAGGCGCCGCAGGCAGGGGAACCACCGTGTCAGGCGCTGCCAGGCACACGACCCCACGCGCTTGGCCAGGCCCCAGCTGGCCCGGGCCGCGCGAGTTTGCGCCACCCAAACCAGCACAGGCCGCAGCAAACGGCGCCACAGCGGCTCCAAAAGCCGAGAGAGCAACGACACCTGGCACTTGCAGGAGAGGGTATTAGGCGGATCGTCCAAAACGAGTTCTTGGGGGTATCTCGTGCAAAGAAGCTTGCAACTTTGCAGCCAAAATGCCAGCGGCCGGTAGATCCTGGCAAGGCAGAATTTGCACAATAGCGTGAGTTCATGATGCTGGGCTCATGTTTGGCTAGCAAACTTCCAAGATCTTCCAAGGATCCAGTCAAACTGAAAGAAATCCGGGCCTTACTCCCCATGCAGAGATGTGTGCATGCGTTTCTTGTGGTGTGGGTGAGTAGGTTTGTGCATGCATCAATTTCACCTTCTGGGCTGACAGGCACCAAAGCCTGCATTCTCAATACAACGCACAGCCAGGCTGCATTGGCAGCACGGCGGACGGCTTCAGGCGGCTGAAGATAGACTTTCGATCACTGGCTTGGGTGTCGCCGTAGACGTTGGCAGACTGGGAGGCGCAACACCCGCGGTAGAGGCAGTACAAGATTACCAGGAGCCCTCCGCCCGCCGCTGCATAATGCCACCACTCAAGCCCCAGCTCTGCGAAACCTGGCCACCCGGTTCCAGCTTAGAAAACACGGACGGCGCGACTGCAAATGCGGAAAAGTGTTTTGGGTTTGCCTCTGCAAACTTGAGGCGCATACATCCCGTCTCTCCGTATGCTCCCGTATCCCTGCCTGGCAGCGCAAGGTCCTCCTGCTGCACCTGCGGCTGCCAGGAGGCGACTTGCGTGGCCTCTGCAGAGCCTGCCCAGTGCCGGAGGTGCAGCAAGCCTGCGGCGTGAGCCTTCGCTACTTACACCCACCTTCTGCCACAGCGGCAAGTTGCCAACAGATTAACGTGCCGAAACTCAACTCAAGATGCAGAAGTCCCACAGCCAACGCTCCATGACAAAAGCGTCGCCCCCCCCCTCAAAAAAAAAATGGTAGAAATAGGGGGTGTTGGGTTGGCTGGTTGCTTTGTTTTTTCACATTTTTTAATATTTTCTCCTAACATGTCTAGGGAGTTGTCCGACTTATTTGTTTTATCAGTTGTTCAGTATTTGCTCGTCTGTGTTGTTTTTAATATATTTTTACATGTTTTTCATTTTCAATAAGTCAAGCAATGGCAACCTTATTCATGATTTACAGCTTTTCAATGAGGTAATTAATTTTACCTTATTTGTTTTTTAAACCCCAGAATTTTGGAGTATACAGAGTAAAAGAGTAATTCATAACCTTATTCATTCATCAATTTTCACCATTAAAAAACAGTATTATAACTGATGACTAACTCTATAAAAATTAGTTTTAATCACATTATATTGAAATAATATGATTAAAAACAATCGCCACTAATCATTGTCATATATTCTATTCGTTTATAAATTTCACTTTCTTCACCAACATTTAATTGTTCTTCTGTCTCTGTTTCTGTCTTTGGTTCTTCTGTCTGTGTTTCTTCATTAACAGTTATTAAATTGTCCTTGTGTTGTTTTGTTCTTTCGTGCCTCGCTTTATTATGAAGTCCTATCATTATTTTACAGCAAGGACATTCATATTGCTTATGTTTAGTTTCCTTTTCATTTGTCGTATTATGTTCCTCCATATACTCTATACTCCATACTCTTTTAACTATTTTCTAAACATTTTTTTTGCATTTGTTTCATTTAATAACAGTCTAAGATATTGACATTTTCAAGGTTCGGGTTTCAGACAATTTTAAGGCTTTCTGGGGGACACATCAAAGGTGCAAATTATGCCCTTATGTAAGATTTAAAGAGCAATCTTGACCATTCACGGAAACCCGTGAAAAAACACATTCATTCACGGAAACCAGTGAAATCATTTCACCGAAACCCGTGAATGGCTTTCACGGAAATCCGTGAAAAAAACACACTCATTCACAGAACTCCGTGAAAGGTCACCTGCAACCTCAAACCCAGACCCACCAGCAACCCGCCCCCCAAAAAGGACTTAAAGAGAAAATGAGAAAATGCCTTATAGTATAGAGAAATAGCAGGGGAATACAGCGCGGGTTCAGTAATTGAATATTTTAATATCCAATAATGAAGGTCAAATAAAAACATGGAAGAATAACAAACCATTGAAAAAACTAATCATCAACAACAAAGAATACTATTACAACAAAGACAAACCATTATCCTCATCACTTCAAAACAAACTCAATCAAGTCAGCAACGCACAAGGTTTCAAACGATTTAATCTTCTAAAAAAAGCATCAAACACAATGAGAGGCATTAAAACAATCCAGAAATACAGATTAAAAATAGGAGCAAGAACATCAGAGACATTTTCTGCATGGAAAGGATATGCCAACACATATTCAATAACCAACATACCATTCAAGGAATACAAAGGATTAACATATCTTTTATGGCAAGAAAAGAAACTAACAGAGTTTTTACAAAAGCAAAATCAATGAAACTACTGATTGATGTTGAGGTTCTGTTTGAAAAAGTTAATGTAGATGGTGATGAAACAGAAGACACTGTCAGTGCATCAAACACGCTTGGAATATCTACCAAAGATGAAAATGATGTACAAATAAAACACAATATGAGAAGCAGGAGATATAACATTCTAAATGTAGGAGACTTGAAAAAAGCCTTGGAAAATATGCCTAAAGATATTGAACTACAAATTGAAAACTCACCTTTGAAACATTCAGGATTGAAGATTAATAAGATTAACAAAATCACCATCCACTACGACAAATACAATCCAAACAGAGCAGGTAAATACATGGAACTACCAGAATGGATTTCAAAGAAAAAAGCATGCATCAACATTCAAAATGATGATGAATTATGTTTTAAATATTGTGAATTATGTAAATTTTATGAAGTCTTCAAGAAAGACAATCCACAACATATGAGACACTACAAGAAATTAATAACTGCTGAAAGTCTAATTAAATGGGATGGTGTGAATTTTCCAGCATCCAACGATGACATTGACACATTTGAATCAACTAACCAAAATTCTATATCAGTTAATGTTTATGTTGAAGATGTGAACCAAACCATCAGAGCAGACAGAATAACAAAAATTGAAAGACCATCTTGTCATATTAACTTATTGCGGATTGAAAAAAATAATAACGAACACTTTGTTTTAATAAAAGGTTTTAGTAGATTAGCAGGAAGACAAACAAACAAAACAACTAATAAAATGTTCTTTTGTAGTTTTTGTCAGCACGGTTTCAAGTCAGAAAAACTTTAAATTCTCACTTAATAAAAGGTTGTATGGCAAATGAAATTCAACAAACAAAAGTGGCCAGAAGAAGGAACAACAATGAAGTTTGAAAAGCATTTAAGAAACTGAAAACGCCATTTGTTATTTACGGTGATTTTGAATGTTTAACAACAGAAACATCAGAAGGTATCAAAGGGACTTATCAGAACCATAAACCCAGCGGTTATATGCTTAACCTTGTTAATGCTTATAGTGGAGAAATGAAACCATTTTATATAGAGGCGAATATTGTATGGATAAATTTTGTGAAACATTAAACAATATTAGAGACGATGTAATGGAACAAATGAAAAAAACAAAAGATATGACTATGTCAGATTTAGATGAAATTAAACATTTAGAAGCTAAAAAGTGTTTCTTATGCAATGAGAATTTCAACAACAAAGTAGAAGCGAAAAAGAAGGTCGCCGACCATTGCCACTTTACTGGATTATACAGAGGAGCGGCACATATGAAATGCAATATAGACTATTGTTTTAAAAAAATATCATATACCAGTATTCTTTCACAATCTTAAAAACTATGATGCCCACCTAAAAATTTCTAATCTTGAAAAGTTAAATACAAAGAAAGAAAGCATATCAGTAATAGCACAGAACAGTGAGAAGTTTATTACATTTTCATTAAACAGACTTGAATTTAAGGATAGTTTCAGTTTCTTGTCATCATCATTAGATAAACTTGTTAAATTAACAAAATATGAAGGTAATAAATTAAGGGACAACTGGCAGGAACATTTTAAATATAGTTTCAAAGGCAAATACATTAAAAATGAAAAAGATTTATTTTTACTGACAGAAAAGGGAGTTTATCCTTATGATTATTGTAATGACTTCAACAAATTTAATGACACTGAACTTCCAGAAAAGAAACATTTTTACAGTAGATTAAGTGAAGAAGATATAAGCGATGCTGACTATGAAAGAGCAAAACTAATATGGAAGCACTTTAACATTAAACACCTCGGTGAATATCACGATTTATATTTAGAAACCGATGTATTATTATTAACCGATGTATATGAAAATTTCAGAAAACAATGTCTAACAGATTATGAATTAGACCCAGCTCATTATTACACATTACCTAACTTTGCTTGGGACGCGATGTTATTAAAAACAGGAATTGAACTTGAACTTTTACACGATGAAGAAGTTTATAAAATGATAGAGCAAGGACTAAGAGGTGGTATGGTTCAATGTGCCTACAAAAAAGCAATTGCTAACAAAAAATATATGGGCGAAGATTATGTTAAGTCTAAACCATCTTCATATATTTCATACCTTGATGCTAATAACCTTTAATTATGGATTAGCAATGTGTAAAAAACTACCATATAAGAATATTAAATTTGTGAAAGATAATTTTACAGAAGAAGACATTAAATATTACAATAGTGATTACAGTAGTAAAGGTTATATTTTAGATGTTGATTTAGAATATCCGAAAGAATGCCACGACAAACACATAGATTATCCATTAGCACCAGAAATAATGAATATAACAGCAGATATGCTAAGTGATGTTCAAAAACAAATCTATAAAGAATACAATAATGGTAATGACCCGAAAGATGAGAAAACAAACAAATTAGTATTAAATGTTATGGACAAACAAAATTATGTTTTACATAGTGATATATTAAAATTCTATCTTAAACAAGGAATAAAAATCAAGAAAGTAAACAGAGTTATAGAGTTTAGACATAAGCAATGGTTGAAACCGTGGATTGACTTTAATACAGAGAAGAGAAAGAACGCTACAAGCGACTTTCAAAAGATATGTACAACCTAATGAACAACGCTGCATATGGAAAAACAAGGCAAAATATAAGAAACCAAATTGACTTTGAACTGGTTGATACTCCTGAACGCTACCAAAAATGTTTAAATAATCCTAATTTCAAATACAGGCATATCATTAATGAAAACCTTATCGGTGTTGAAAAAGCTAAGAGCGTTATAAAACTGAATAAACCTGTTTATGTTGGAATGAGCATTTTAGATTTATCAAAGCAACATATGTATTCTTTTTACTATGATATATTGAAAAAGAAATATAATGAAAATGCGAAGTTAATTTACACAGATACTGATAGTTTCGTAATTCACACTAAAACCGAAGACATTTATGATGATTTCAATGACATCGCCCATCTTATGGATTTCAGTGGTTATGATGTTGAACACAAATGTTATGATAAAACAAATGAGAAGAAACTGGGTTGCTTTAAGGATGAATGCGATGGTAAAATAATAACTAACTTTATAGCATTGAAACCAAAGTCATATTGTTTCAAAATACATAATGAAATGAAAGAAGAAAAGAAGAGTAAAGGTATTCCCAAACAAAAAGTTAAGAAAGAAATAAGCTACAATCATTACAATGATACAATAGAAAATAACAACTGTGATACAATAACATTCAATTCTATAAGAAGTAAAGCACATCAAATATACAGTGTCAGTCAAACTAAAAAATCACTATGTAATTTCGACAACAAGAGATATTGGATA